TCCATAATCAAGAAATTTGAATAGAATATATTATTTATCAACTACACTTAATTTTTATTTTCGCTTCAATTAATTTTCATCCGATCTTAAAGATGCGATATATCCAAATTAAATAGAATACCCATGTAATCTATATTAAAATATTATTATATATAATGTTATCTCATCCTGTTAAAAAATATCTATTCTAAACTGTAACGGATTATTGTGTATAATCCACCATTACAATGCCTAAGAAAAAATGTTTGAAAGATGGACAGTTTTATTAATTACTTTATTTTAAATATTTGTATTGAACATGTGCAATTAGCAATTAATCATGAAATCAATGCTTTCACTTTTACGTTTCTTGCATTTCACGTTTATTCGTTACGCTTCTGCAATTGCAACTTTAATAAAACTGGAAATAATTATGGGAAATAAAAGAAATGTCTAAAGTTCAGATGCACTCGCACGATAAGCGCAGGTTGAAATAATATTCAAACTACAGGTATTAAAAAGATACGACAGAAAAATTTTATCTTTTCAATTATTAAATTTCCTAAGATGATAAAACGTTTCTATTGATTTGTTTTCAAAATAATTTTAGAATCTGCTTGACTTTTCACAATGAAGTACTATATTTTCTTGGTTGATAACTTTTTATCAGAAGATTAATGCATTTAATGATAACATATTATATGATTTTGGGATAACTAATCGCAAACATGCAGACGATTTTAAGGCAATTCTTTCTTCACACGATTTTAATAATAACATATGTTATTTTAATAATATATGCTTTTTATAAATATAGCATTTCATTGAAAATACGAAGTTGACCTTCAAATAACTGTTATAATAAAACATTAATAATATTTTCCTTGTCCCATCAAATTTTATAATCAAAACAGTACAAATTTTGTTGGTACTCTTTTGTAATATTAATAAATTAGGCGATATATTATGCAACGCTTATTGTGGAACATCCTACATATACAAATAGTTATTATTAGATAAAAATTAAATCGAAGTCATACAGACATTTAAAGATGAAATAGAGTGAAATGCAACTGAAACATGCTGTTTTGTTAGTCATAGACACTGATGAAAAGTAAGAAGTGATAAAGCCAGTATAATAATTAGTAATATCGCTATTTAGGATTCAACTAATTCTCCACTGTCCTCGTCCCATTCAGAGAAACTTCTGCGTTTGTTTTGTTTATCATTCTTGTCAGCATCTTGTTCTTCTTCATCAACATGTTCTTCTTCAATGATCATAACTGATTCTTGAGGTTCATCTGCACTATTGCTTTGTTCGCTACATTGCTCGTCATATTCCACAATTTCTGTCTGTTCTTCTACATACTGTATAACCTCTTCTACTTGATCTACGTTGCATTCTTCCAACAATTCCTCTGAATGTTCAACTTGCATTTCTTCTTCTTCTTCTTCTTCTTCTTCTTCTTCTTCTTCTTCTTCCTCTTCTTCTTCTTCTTCTTCTACCACCACCTTTTCTTCAACTTCCTCAACTACTTCTTCCACTATTTCCTCTGTTTCTTCAGTAAGTTCTTCAGATTGATAATTCTCATATGCTTGCCGATCTGTTTCTTCATTTCCATGTATATAAACGATCATACCATCCTCTGTGCCTTGCATTACAATCTGTTCATTGCCAGAAATGTTTAATTGTTGTGGTTGTTGCTGTTGGTCATTATCCTGTTGTTGATAATTTTCATTATCGATAAGCATAATCATAGGTTGCCCATCAAGTTCATGCGTGCTATAAGTCATTTCATGTGAAATATTGTTTATTTGCATCTCCGGCACGATATATTCTGTTACATTTGAAGCTACTTCTTGAGGTTCAGTTGGAACGGTGTCACCGACGCTTAAAGAAGCTGCTATTCCACTTGCAACATGACTAAGTGCTTCAGCTTCTGAAGAAGGCTCTAAAGATATTGATGGCATGGATGTTGTTTCAGAATCTCGTAAATCTTTGTGTACACAATCCAAATGAACTTGTAAGTTTGTGGCGCGTACGAAAACTTTGCCACAATGAGTGCAACGATGACCTTTTTCTTTCCCGTCAGATAGATTTCCATGGCCAGTATTAATTTCATGTGTAGTTAATTCTGTGACATCTTTGAATGTTTGCGTACACTGTATACATTGAAGTTCTTCCGTTGTTGATGAATGTTGACGTGACGTTGGACGATGATTATGATTTATCTGATGTCTCACTAAAAGGGTTTCTGAAAGTGCTACATAAGAGCAGGCTTGACACTTCGGAAAACACATGCTTTTCGGAGGAGGCACGTTATGTTTTGTGTAAAGGTGATACATCAAGATATTTCGTTTCGTTGCTTTATAACCACAATGTTCACAAACTCTTGGATCAAATTTTTCTTCGTGCACATCTTGCATATGCCTTCTATACATGTAATAATTAGTATACTCCTCTTCTATGTCGCATTTATTACATTTCCAAGGGCCAGTTTCAGCACCATCTACATTTCCATTACTTTTTGATTCATTTTCTTCGCTACTATTGCTCGACATCAAATGATCAGATTTTAAAACAACATAAGAAACTTTCGTCTTAGATGCATTACTATCCGCGGATTTTGCTTCCTTTTGCATTATTTTCAATCGTATATTCTTATTATTTTTTACTAAATGAGGATATTTTTTCAACACTTCTCGAATGATCTTAGCATGATTATTGATTGAATCATCCGAATTCCCTTTGAAAGATGATTTGCCTTTTTCCATGTTTTCCTTTTCTTCAAGATCGAATCGTACTCTTTTTGATGGTGAAGGCTGCGCTTCCTGACCCCGTTGGAAACATCTAGTTACAGACCAATCATCATCCGAATTCATTTCTTTCAGACTTTTCTCGTTCATATGAGTATCATCTTCTTCATCCTCTGTTGTATCAATTTTACTGTCTCTATCTGGAGAACATTTACCGCTAGGCGAATTATCTCTTTTATATGTATCTGGTGCTTGCACAATAGGTTTAGTATTATAAGTGATGTCATCGAAAGACGAAAATACGCCGAGGGCAAACTCTTCGGCTTCGGGGAGATCAAATCGTGAAGGCCCTGGAGTCACTTCTGTAGGCCTATTTGTTGTGGATATCCCATGGAATGTTCGCATTTCATAATTAAGTGATGGTGTACTTTGTGGAGCATCTAATTTCCTTTTCCAAATAGGAAGTCTGAAATAATAGATGCTTACTTTATACAGTGTATTGTTAACAAATTGTATATACATTATTACTTTGATCATTTTTATTATCATCTACTGGTATAATCATTTTTAGTAATTTAAAATTAACTGAAATGTGTATAGTTTAACATTCTTCTTTTATTAATGTAAGAAATAGCTTTGCATACACGTATTTTATAACGTACTGTTTTTCAAATAAATAAATCTGAAGCATACTCACTTTCTACCTGGTAATGGCTGAGGTGAAAGTCCTGATGTTGAACTAGAAGTTGTTGTTGGTTTTATATTGGATGTTGAAGGCTTCGAAACTGCTATTACTGGTCGAGTATTGCACTTTGGTGATTGTTCATTTTGTAAAGAACTAGTATTAAATTGTGCATCAAGTAACTTAGTTAACACAGTCATATTCATTTTCTGTGCAGTACGATATAAAGCATGTTGTTCAGAAGTCCAATATTCCAACTGTCCAGTGTACATAAAACTTTAAAAAGATCATACCAAATTACATTTTGTAGACTAATCATCTATTCTATAAGTTTTGCAAATATATTTTAAATTACAAAATTTGTGTAAATTTCATGTAATTATACCTTATAATTGATTTCACACATTCATATGGCATATCTGGAGGCATAATGATTACCCCATCAAAATTTTCATCTTTCTCTTTTTGCTCTCGTTCCAATTGCAAAAAATAATCTGTGCATGTTGTTATGACTAAACGATGAGCCTAAAATGTTTACAAAATGTATTTTGATTGTGCAAAATATTATAATGTAAGTATGATAAAAACATTATGCAATTTGGAGCTACTGAAGTTAACTGACTTACTCATTATACCACTGTAATATCTAAAATCCTGTTCCAAAACAATGATTAAAAATTATTACCTGAACAGTAATATCACTAGTAGGAAATTTAATAGTAAGGTCAAGTAATTCTTCCTCAAAATAAAGTTGTTGAAGTCGCTGAAGAAAAAAAGTTCCCCAATTATCCACTTTCACTTGTTTCAATCCCCTAGAAGGGAGATTTTTGTCTTGACTCGCTACTTCCATTATTTACCTATATATTTAGAAAATATTATTTAAAATTTTGCAAACAAAAATTAAACATTATAAAACTAACTGATATGCAACAGCTATGTATAAGATTAATAATATACATAATTAATTTTCATTGATTGATCTTCTGAAAAAATTAAACATAATTACTTTCAGTACACAAAACTTGTTTAATATTTAAAAAAATATACTTTTTAATATTAGAAGTTTCTTATAATTTATCAATAATACTTTGAAGGAAATGTCACAAAATCTCTGAAATTTAAAAACCTTCTTAAACTAAAAGTGTTAAAC